CCCCAAAACCCCAAAACCCCATAATTCTCAAATCTATAGAAATAGATGGTTGATAAATCATAATTACGTAATTGTTTATTAATTTAACTTTAGAATATCTCTCGATGGCATCCACTGAAGATCCTACAATTGACCCAACCAAGCTATGGGTATCACTCTCTACTCCACTAATAGCAAACACTATTGTTTACATTATTGCTTAACTCAAGAAAGATAATGGTATCGTAGATATCATGTGGGGACAGCTATTCGTGCTACCAAACTTAGTTTACCTGCTATGGTCTTAGAATTGGAATCAAAGAACAATCCTTACCTTTGCCTTGGTATCTTTATGGGCATTCAGACTCTCTGCACATATATTGATGAGACACGGTGGAGAGGAAGACTACAGATACCAAGCAATGAGAAGAAAATGGGAAGCTAAGGGAAAAACTTACTATTATATCGTCTCCTATCTCTTTGTTTTTGTCATGCAGGCTGTATTCTCCTTAGTTGTGAATGCTTCTGCTTTATATGTGAGTCTTTACTCTACAAAGGATAATGTGCTTGGACCACTTGATTATGCTGGAGTTGTAGTATTCCTTATTGGTTTCTTGATTCAAGCTGCAGCTGATGCCAGTCTCTACTCCTTCAAGAAAGATCCAGCAAATAAGGGAAAAATCATCAAGCACAACGTATGGAGATACTCCAGACATCCAAATTACTTTGGAGAGTCACTCATGTGGTGGGGCATCTACTTAATTGCCTGTTCAGTTGGCAAAGGCTACTGGACTTTCTACTCAGCTCTATTCATCACTCTTCTGGTTAGATTTGTCTCTGGAGTTCCTCTTTTAGAGAGAAAGCAAAAGAAAAATCCTGAATTCTTAAAGTATATGCAAGAGACCAATGTTTTCGTTCCTTGGTTTGTAAGAAAGATCAATGACAATGAAGAGCAATTAATCGATAAAAAGGAAAATGGAGAAAATTATGGAGCAGTAAAGAATGATTGATTATTCATCATATCTGATTGCAAAGGTATATTTACAGACGGTAGCAATGGTCTGAATCATATGTGAATGAATATTAATTGAATCAAATAATTTACAAAAGCTCTATATGACCCATCCTTAATGTGATTAAGTTAAACTATCTAATAATAGTACTTTAATGAATATAGAACTAGTTAAATTAAATTCTAATTGTAAATTCTAGATTTATCAACCTCATTAATAAACGTAATATAAATAGAAAATGAATTTTCCTACAACACTGAGTGAAGAAGATAGACTTTACAGAGCACCTTGGTTTACTGTTCTTGCTTGTAATGTAATCTTGTACATTATAGCATAGAGAATAAAGGATAATGGAATCGTAGATATTTCCTGGGGACTTGTATTTCTAATGCCAAATTTAGCTATCTTAACTATCAATTACAATCTGAACATGCGTACTTATTTAGTTACCTCCATGATTACAGTATGGGCGATTAGAATGGCTTTGAGCAATGGCCTTAGACATAACGGGGAAGATTGGCGATATGCTGAGATGAGGTAAAATTGGATGAAAAAGGGCAAGTGCTTCTACTACGTTGCTGCTTTTGTGTTCATCTATTTCACATAAACCATCTTTCAATGTCTGATGTGTTGTTCTTCATTCTACATAAATGCTTTCTCTCCTGACATCAAAGAATATGAAATTTTGGATTATATAGGAGCTGGAGTCTGGTTTATTGGGTTTTTAATAGAATTAGTGGCAGACTTGCAATTATAGATTTTTAGGAGGAATCCAATTAATAAAGGGAAGCTTTTAACCACAGGTTTGTGGAAATTTTCGCGTCATCCTAATTATTTTGGAGAAGCACTCCTATGGTGGGGAATTTACATCATCGCTTGCACAATCAAGATGGGCTGGATTACAGTTTTCTCGCCTGTCATATTAACCTTTCTATTGAGATTTGTGTCAGGGGTTCCTCTTCTTGAAAATAAATACAAAGAGAGGCAGGACTTTAAAAATTATGTCAAATAAACAAACTGTTTTATTCTCTGGATCCCTTCAAAAGTAGAGACAGTTGTTGAGGAATTCAGTCTCAACTCAACCAGAAGTTTGTAGATGCTAAAAGAAATAGACCTTGAGAGAGAGGAAGTTAAATCCATCAGTAGCAATGAAGATGAATTTGTTAAGAAAAAGCCTTCTGTTGCTATCAGACCTATCATTGTATGATTTTAATCGATCCTATGATTATTATACCACGCAATATCATCATTAATTTTTTTCTGGCTTAAATAAACGTATAAAATCATAATTATTAATTCTCTAAATGTCTTATTATGCTTTTTGATGGGGTTTTGGGGTTTTGGGGTTTTGGGG